AAGAGCCTTTGATAGATACAAAATTCATATTCATAACTTTTAGAAGTTTCATTTCTCTTGTCATCATTAGGTTCGAGAGCAAGACGTTATCTATGGGCTTTCAGGAATAAGCTTTGAGGGTCGTCACAGGGCATGGGAATGGTTTAAGGTATGTAATTTCTCGGCTGTAAAAATTTATCAATCACTCCTTGCTTTATTCATATCGGAAGTGCAGTAAAAGTTGCAATTGGTATAAAGCTGTGTTTCCAAATCCTTGGCCTAGGCCTAGGCCGAAAAGATGCAAAAACTGAATCTGCAAACGTCTGAGAGTGGAAGAATTTATGTAACGAACCAAGCCTACTACTAGCAAATATCATCCTCTTTAGACTTTCCCTTTCAGGCTTCCACTTGAAGTTTTAAAATCTGTCGGCTGGAAAGAGGTTTTCACACTCTTAAAAAGAATGCTTTGTTCCCCTCTCTAATCGACGTGGGATCTCACAATCGACTCCTTTGGAGCCCAGCGTCCTTGCTGGCACACTGCCTGATGTCTGGCTCTGATACTATTTGTAAAAGCCCAAGCCTCCCCTCTTTGACCGATGTGGAATCTCATAATCACCTCTTTGGGGCCAGCGTCTTCACTGGCACACTGCCCGGTGTTTGACTTTAACACCATTTGTAAAAGCCCAAGTCCACCGTTAGTAAATATTATTCTTTTTTGGCTTTTCCTTTTGAGCTTCCACTCAAGATTTTAAAACGCATCTCTTAGGGAGAGGTTCCACACCTTTATAAGAAATTCTTTGTTCCCCTCTCGAACCGACGTTTTTCCACGAAGTTATCCAATCTATGTATGTATAATTTGTTGATGTCACATGGCACTTGTACCAATTTTTGGTCCCAATGAATTCTCCTCCTCGGCTCAAGCACTTTCATGCTGCGTTATTGCTATTTTCTTCGAATTTCAACAACAAAGAACAGATTCTCTTTCTTGAACTTCATATTGATGGATACTTGCTAAAACTTGCAGGAGAACTGGGAGCCCATCTTTAACAAATATGGTCCTAATTTTTTGTTAACCAACTTCGTCCGTGACATTATCACTCCGGTAAGCTATCAAACTATTCAGAATAGCGCTTTGTCCAAGTTGAACTTCAAACAATGGTTTCTGCTGTGTAAATTATTATCTCTTGAGACTTTTTGGGCTCACACTTGTATTCTCCTCTTGTCAGTTTTGCAGCAATGAGGAAGCAGACGAAATAGAAGCGTTTTTTGCAACCCATCCTCACGAAACGGTTGCTATGGATCTGAAGCAAAGCCTGGAGCAAGTTCGCATCAAAGCGAGGTGGGTTGAATTCATTAGGCAAGATCATTCTCTACCTGACCTCATTAATAAACTTGCTGCCTACTCATCTTGAACTATCTACCCAGTAATCAGATCATACTCATATGAAAAATTCAAATAAAGAACTGAAATAATAGTGCATACTTTCCAAATATATAGTATAGAACTATACACTGAACTTTAAGCTGTGGGAGTATGGAAATGTTGACATGTAAATAGAAATAAAGGAACCGTCAACTGTATAAATCCTGATGTATCTCTGTAGTTATAGTGATAGTGATAGTTTGATGGACATGCATATAGGTAAAAGTTTCAAATGTATCCTTCTATCTCTTATATTTTCATGATATATATATATATACGAATATATTGTTTACTCATTATTCAATTTTTACGATCTATTTTCGTGAAATCATGCATTTATTGTTGAAGATTATTGAGAGAAATAGTCTCACATTGACTAATTAAGAAAAAGATCATGGATTTATAAGTAAGGAACACTATCTCCATTGGAACGAGGCGTTTTAGAAAAATAAAAACAAAGTCATGAAAGCTTATGCTCAAAGTAGACAATATATCATGTTATTGTGGAGAGTTGTGGTTCTTAACATGTTATCAGAGTCATGTCCTTAACTTAGCTATGTCAATAGAATTCTCAAGTGTCGAATAAAGAAGTTGTGAGCCTCGAAGGTGTTGTCCAAAGTGACTCAAGTGTCGAACAAAAGATGTTTTTTGTTTGAGAGCTTCAGAGGAGTTGAGCCTCGATTAAAGGGAGGCTATTTGAGAGATCCGGAGAAAGAGACCCCAAGGAAGGTTCAATGGTGTATGGAACACTATCTCTATTAGACAATATCATATCATTGTGGGTTGTGATTCCTAACATCTATCCTAAGGTTATACCTGATGAACCTTCCCTTCCCTCCCACATTGTTGATTTGGAATTGAAAAATGATGGAAATAATTAGGAAAGAAATTATATATTTAGTCATTAATAAACCAACAAATAAAAGAAAAATTGAACTTGGGCCGAGCCACTTACTGTTCTGGGCCCTTACGGCCCAAAATGGATGTCCTCGTCTTCCTCCTCTCCTTCATCGAGTTCATCCTCTCCAATTTCAAACCCGCTCTGAATGTCTCGATGAAGCTATCAGCTTTACTGTTCACATCCGGACTTCCACAAAATCTTGCTCCTTTTCTCTCTGCATTTTCGTTTCTTTTCGATTCCCCCTTCATTAGAATATGCAATTCCGCCGTCGTCGACGGCGGAGCTAATGCACCTGACGGCGGTTGCTCAACGGTGCTATTCTGAGTTCTCACAGCAATGAGTTTTTGCGGCGAGGATTCTGGTGGAGCTGGGAAACCTCTTTTTGCTTCGCCTACTCTACTCGAAATTTGATATTGATGAACTGTCACCGGCGGCCCTGGCACTAGCGGCGGAGATAAATTCCGATTGAACCGATGTTGTGGAGTAACGAATTCTTTGAAATTCTCAACACCCTTTTGCCATTTCTTCATCTTGTTCTTGTTCTTGTTCTTGCCCTTCTTCCTCTTTGTTTCTTTACTCTCTACCTCTTTCTGTTTCTCATTTTTGCTTATTTCAACTTCCATTGCCTGAAAATCCTCTCCGAGCAATTCAGGTTCAAAACCTCCATCCCCGTCATTTATTCTCTCTACCTCCGCTACAACCACCGCACCCGGTGGCGAAGAAAGTTGGGGAGGTGTCACTAATGGAGGAACAGAAATCTGATACAGAGACGAAAACGAAGGGGAAATTTCTTCATCACTAACAGAAAATGCAGCTTTAGAAACTCTCTTGGAATCATACCCTTCTTCAAATTCCTTCAAATTTGGATAATGCTGAAGAGAACCTGAACTGACAGATTGATAATTGGTTATATTACCCCCGCCGGAAAGCCGCCAGTATTCAACTCCAGCGATCTCCGGTGGATAATGGAGAAGAATCTGATTCGTCCGATCTGCGTAGCCATTCCATTGATTTGGGATCGATGGGTTTGACTTGTAGCTCAGCTCTGAATCATTTGAAGTAACAGAAGCTCTGTAAATTTCTTCACGAACTGTGTTTTCGCCATTGTTTTTGCTGAGAAGCCCACAGGCAATGGCGAAGAGGACCAAAGCCAAACAGAGGAAGTCCAAGCTTTTCCATGTAGATTGAGGCTTAAATGAACGAAAACTGAAACTGAAACTGTAAAATGGAGAAATTGAGACAACGAAGATGAAACACAGAGAAATGACGAGAAAGAGAATTGGAAAGGCATCGAAATTAAGGAATTGAAACGGTGTAGTACGGCGGAGGTCGCGGCGGTCGGAAGTTGGTTCCGGCCGAAGTGGCGGCGGTGTGTCCATTTTGGCTTTTATTTTTTTCCCTAATGGGGGAAGAAGTGTTGTTGTGTTGCCACAGTGTGGAGAGAAGGGAGCCATATAAATCATATCCATATTTTATTCCTTCATTTATTTATTTATTAGTGACTGTAAATATTCCAATCTCTAGCGTAATAAATATATTTCAAAGCATTAATAATTTTAAATTTTCAAAAATAAGTTTAAAAATTAAGAATAACATTACTAATAATTAAATTGTATTATTTAAAAATTTTAGAGGATGTAATTTAAATGTGCAAAATATACTTTAAATAAAATAATTGCATAGTAAAAATTAAATAACTGTTATTTAAAATAATAATTGGCATCAGGGAAAAAGAATCCGAGTTTAATTTTTATGGTGTGTGAATAGTGAAGAACTGGAGACAGCACAGCCCATGTTCGGTGGGATATGATTCCATGCTCACGTGAGAATTGGATTCCCACTGCAAATAATCCTTAATTACTACTAATTTTATTATTAAATTTAGCTTTTTTTTTATTTATAATTATTTAAATTTATACCTCAGTTTACTACTAATTTTATTATTCCAATTTCTTTATGATAATTTTTATCTTTAATATCATATTTATGTTCATTGTGAAATAGTCCAATTTTAAAAATAAAAATAAAAAACGTTTTTAAAAACTAATTATTCTTTTTAATTTTCAAAATTTGGCCCCGATTTTGAGGGTAAATAGATAGAAAATTTATGTGGACAAAAATATCAAAATAAAAAAATATTAAAAACTCGTTAGAATGAATAAAGAACTAAGTAGGCAATTCCATGCCTCCTTCGTGTAAAAGCCAAGCCCACTCGAAAAAATATTGTCCACTTTGACCAGTTATGTATTATCATCAGTCTTACGATTTTAAAGTACGTTTACTAAGGAAATGTTACTTTTAACAAATATTATTTGCTTTTGCCTGTTACATATTGATACGTCTACTGGAGATGTTTCTACACTTTAATAAGAAATGTCTCGTTCCCCTCTCCACCCGATGTGGGATCTCACGTTGAACTTTTTTTTTTTAATATATATATATAAGAATTTTAAATTTTTATCTATTATATATTAAGCATAGCCATTTTCAAACCATTTGCAATATTAGAATGAAAATTTAAAAGATGGATTGGTGAAATCATTCATAATATCATATCATGTTAGTTAAATATCCACACGTTAAAGCACGTCTAAATTCATAGTTAGCTGGCTAACACGAGAATAACTCAACTGATTAAAATCATTAATCTTCAACGATAAAGTCAGTTCGATATTCAACTCAATAAGAAGAACCATATTTCCACGAGGAAAGAAACCAAAGAAGCATAGATTATAACTACTTCATTACAGATGGATGCTGTTTCTTTCTTTCTTTCTTTTCTGCTGAATTTCCATGAGGAATATTCTATGATACATAAACTGTTTTCTATATTTTCGAACTCATTAGAACGAGTTGTAAACTGCAAAAACGTACCATACCGTACCGTGTTGCTCGAGGAGCTATGAACTCGAAAGGGTACGTTTAAGATTTGGTCTTGAACTTCCTTTGAGCTTTCAAGTCCACTACAATCACAGAGATGTTGTCTTTGCTTCCCTTTTGGAGAGCAAGCATGGAGAGGTAATCTGCAGCAGCTTGTGCAGCTGGGTCAACTCCCGTGCCCCGATTGCCGAGACACGAAGCCGACGCCCCGTGTTTCTTGTGCCAAAGCAGAATCCGCCTCCGAGCTACTTCACACACTTCGTCATTTGTCATCACATCCCACAGTCCGTCGCTCGCTAAAATAAGACACTCGTCTTCTTTCGCACGAGCAAAGCACATAACTTCCGGATCAGGAATAATCCATGGCTTCAAATATCTATCACCTGTTAGTTTATGTGGAGAATCAGATAATCTAATCTTTCTGTGCACAAACAAGAGCATAAGCATTGAATCAGAAATAACGTACCAATCGATCTAGACATTGCAAGAACTCCAAACACACGATGTCCGTTCCATTGAATGACCTTGCCTCCACACGATTCAATCCGAGCGTACTCGTCTTCCCGATTTGGCTGTGGAAAAAATCACGTTTAGAATTAGTTAGTTCCTTCAAAAGATATAGAGGTTGCTCTATCATTCTATACGAGATCGAAGCGTACTTTATGATCGACCGATAAAGCCACGGGTTCTTTACCACGGCATAGGACTGCTCTTGAATCACCACAGTTCGCAACAATGATGTGTGATGAACAGACCAACGCAACAACAGCAGTCGAGCCAACAGTTTCCGGGGCAACCGGCTCAAAGCTTGTATCGAAAACATCTCCACCGCTACCGCTACCACCGACCGTTCTACCAACTTTTCCTTCTATTTCATCATCAACTCTAAGAAAGCAATTGTTAAAGGTTCTCTCCCAACCCTGCTGCCAATTCTCTCCATTGCTTCCATTATTTAAATCTTGTTTAAAATCTCTCATCTCTTCAGCTAACGCCACGTGTATCCGCTCCCGACAATAATCAGCAACCTACACGAAAACTTTCCTTTAATTCATAATATGATATCGAATTCAAGAAACACGTCAAAAGTTTTATATATAGACTATGATACAGACTTGGTTCAAGAAGAGAATTCAAACAAGAACAACAGCACATTTGCCAAATAGAACAAGGTACCTGAGGGCCCCCATGTCCATCATAAACACCAAAAAAATGGCTGTTGATATGTGTTAAACTTTGACCAATTCCATTCACCAAATCATTCCCTACAAGCATTTTGATAGGAATCTTTGCAAAACAAGGAACAGAAGAAATTGCATCTTCCATTTCTGGTCTTCTACCACAAATCGATACCGACCCCCAAAGCGGAATACAATCACGTTCGAAGATGCTACGAATGCCTTTATGAACGCTATCTCCCCCTTTTGATTCAAAAACTACTGCAGGGGCGGTGTGCAGCTCCGGCGAGGCAGATACTTCTAAATCCGGGCTTACTGTCGCTACAATAAGTTCATTGGTAGGGATATTCCCTGATTCCACCAAGATGATAGCCTTAGCAACAATATGACCATTACTAACATCTCCAATTTTGACACCACCATTAATACCAAACAATCCATCATCTATCATTTCATCAGGGTAATCCAGAGTAGATAACAATGCATCTTTCTTATCTACACTCAAATTCGTGCCGTTCTTCGGTAACAACCCCCAAAACGTGTTTATACCTTGACCATTGTCCGTTGGGCGCGACACGGTTAAGCCATCAACTATACCATTAAAATCATGGAAGCTACCATTACCGTTCGAACCTACCGTGTCAGTCACCAACTTTAGGCATGCGTATTTGACATGACCAGGACTTTCTGAACTATCAGACTTTGAATTGCCCAAACCAAGTGTCAAAGAAACAGCAGGAGACATCTCTTCCATCATTCTTACAAATCCTACAGATAATTAGCTATCTTCCTAAATCTCTACAACCTCATCATTTGGCAATCAACTAGAGAAAAACTAAGCTGCTTTAGCACAAATCCACAAATCCACAAAGCTTTTCAATGAAAAAGTTCACAATCAAATCACAGATTCTCAACAGAGTAAGCTCAAAAACAAGCAGAAGAAATCAGATTCCAAATCCTTAGATCTATTCAAGAACAGTGGATCTAACCTTGCAATGATTTCGAGAAGGAATTCCATCAAATTCTTCCCTCTCTGATAAGAACTCCAAACTATCAACAATCTTTTCTCCACTATCAGCTCTTATATACACAGAAACATGAGAAAACAAGGATCTCTAACCTTTATCCAATAAAGAAGAACAAAACCCTCGAAGGAGACAGGTGGAGGGATCTAAAATAAAGCGAAATCACAAGAAATCCCCAAAAGGTTTCGCCTCTTTTTCCACATAAAACTTGGGAGTTTCATGGATCCAACGCAACCCATCAAAATCCGATCCAAAACAACGAAAACCCACATGGAAATAAACTAAAATCAGAGGTTTAAAGACCCCATTTGCTCAAAAAGGGCAAGAAATTAGGGAATAACATTAGAGAGAAGAATAAGAAGAACAAAATGAACACATCTCACCAGATGAACGTTTATGAAAGAAAAAAAAATGAACTCGGAGCAGAATCCAGACGGCTATGTTTTCTTTGAATTTAATTTTATCCCCGAAAGAAAATATATTTTTAATTGGAAAAAAAAAGGGTCTAAAAATTTGAATGGACACGTATAGAGTTTAGAAGTAATTATGTTGCATCGCTGAAAGCTGTCTGCTACGGAAGAATGCTCGATTCATATCACCGAAGATTATTGAGTCATGGATTTTTCATGAGAAAAGACACGTGTCCAGATGCTTTTCTTTTTCAAAGGAATAAATAAAAAAATAAAATAGAAAAGTCCACTGGGACCAATAATGTGGATGCCATCTGGGCCTGTGAAAAATGAGGACCCTCTGGGTATCTGCCACGTGGTGGACTTTGCTTTGTCATTCACCAATTTTCCCCTCTTTCTTCTCTACTCTCACGTAACAACAAACCTAATATTTTTGGAAATAATCGGCTCTCCTAAACAATTCTTTTTTAAACTAAACTACTCAAAATCTTCCACAATTTTCTAATTTATTTCAAAAATTCTTTTACTTTCGATGCTAAGAAGCTCCTTTGTTATATGGGGTCTGACGCATCCAAGAGTGCGATGCAGCGTTTTTTGTTTCGAAAATACTTCTGAATTTTTAAAAGATTTATTAATATCATAAACTATATATAAAAAAAAAAAAAAGACAACATGGACCGAAATTTTGATTATCTCATTCCAAAATTATCTCGAAACTTTTAAAAGTTGCATTAATAAATAAAAATTAAAAATGATTTCAGAAGAAAATTAAAAGGTATATTGACCAGCAAGAAAAAAAGAGAATAATGAAACCATAGAGAAATCTTAGGACTTAAATGTTGTTTGAGTTCGATAAAGAAAGATACATCGAGAATTTGGACCGGAATTTTGGGGGCTACTAGAGAACGGAAAAAAAATAGAAATATAGACCACCAAATTTGTAGCAATTAAGGTTTTGTTGATAAGTTATGTTGTTCAAATTAGTTTATTTACTGCGATCCGTTAAGAAGATTTTCCAGGATCGAATATGATATTTTTTTGTCGATCATTTTTTTATTTAGTGATTCATCATTTTGGTTAGTTTTGATGGGAGATTTTGATTTTTAAAATTTTATGGAATTTCATGCTTGAACTTAAAGTTTTAGGTATTGTGTATATCATTGAAAGTTTGTGGTATTTCTTGAAACAAAATAATAACGATCTCCATTCAAAACTAAGTATAAAACTTCTGAAAGTTGTGTTAGAATGTTGAGTATATGAGCCTAAATTTAGTTGAAAAATTTTCATATAAATTTTATATGATATTTGTTTGGATTATTTATGGGAACTTGTAATTTATATTTAATTTTGATCATTAGATTGATATATATATACACATACATACTAGTTCTTCAGGGGAACGAAATATTCATTGCACGGGTATGGAAACTTCTCTAGGTGTTTTAAAATCATGAAGTAGACTTCAACTGTTACAAATGATATTAGAGTCAAACACCAGTCGATATTACAATAAGAGCGATGATCTCCCAAGAGGGATGAATTGTAAGATCTCACTTCGGTTGAAGAGAAAACAAAATATTCATTATAAGGATGTAAAAATCTCTTTTTAATTGACACATTTTAAAACTGTAAAGCTGACGATAATAACATAACAGACCAAAACAGACCATATCTATAAGAAGAGGGTGTTCAACTTTATCTATAAGAAGAGGGTGTTCAACTTTATTTCTTTGAGCTCATTCATGATATATTTGCAGGTTTAGATGTAAATCTGATTGTGAGTACAAAATGGAATGTCAGAGAATGAATGGCGTTTTTAGCATTATCTTGTAAAGAAATGGGCACACAGTTTAATGGAGCTCCAATGCTAATATGCATGCATCACCCACGCAATCTGTGCTTTTGGGAAGTGAATCTCTGCCATCCCAACTTGCATTTTCATACCTGAAAATCACAAACCTCATAGCTATTTAAATCACAAGCTCATAGCTTTGTATTCTCAGAAATGATCTATTTTGAATGAATTTTAAGTGCTCCTTTTCATCCAGGAAGCAATTCACTGTATATTATCAATCAGCAGATGATGAAACGGACAAAATTTCCTCTTCGTCTATATCCTTTATTGACCTGAAAACCAGACCAATCGAGAAGGAAAATAAATTACAAGCTGCGTTCGTTTGGAAATCCAATTCCTCAACAATCACCACCTTATTCCCTTAGTCTTATATGCAAACTCCAATCTCCTTTGGTTGCGTAGCCAAAAGGAGATCCCAAGGATACTACAACTGAAGCCGAAAATAGAATATATCCAAAAGAAGAGCCGAGATCGCAATCTTCCCTCCGCATGATTGCTTATGTGACAACAGACAATAATTTGTTTGATGAAAATGGATAAGTCAATCAATCAAACCTATAGCAACATTGATTCGGGATTCTCGATGTAGCCCTTGAATGCTTTGAGCCAATCCGCGCCGATTGCCCCTGATCAAACAAAGAAGAACAGAATGTTACACAGCTAACACTTCTCTTTCAGGTCATACACAATCTTAAAAGACTTCAGGTTCAGAATTTTGTAATGATTCTACCATCAATAACGCGATGATCACAGCTCAGTGTAACCGACATGAAGGAAGCAAACTTGAATTCTTCAGCGCCCGATCCTGGTATGACCCTCTTCTCCGCTGCGCAAGATTAGATGTGAATGGTGATTAATAATAATCATAATTAAAAAGAAAAAAGCAGTGGTCGATATCAAGAATGATGAATGATCTGCGTACCAGATCCAACAGCAAGAATGCCCGACTGCGGCGGGTTGATAATGGCACAAAATTGCTTGATTCCAAATGGACCTCCCAAGTTAGACACAGTAAAAGTGCCTCCCTGCAAAAGGATTAAACTGCTAATTAAAATCCTTAAACCACGAGTAAATCTTGTTCCTGAGTATTCAAACAACATTCCACCTCATAATCTTCTGGCTTTAAACTGTTCTCTCTCGCTCTCTGAGCTAATTTCTTGACCTCGTCAGAAATACTAGATAAACCTTTTTTGTCTGCATCCTGTAAATAAAACAATTTCACATCTTCTATACAACGGTAATAAAAGCCAACTATTCAACCTCTTTTACAAAGACAACTACTGACCCTGATGACGGGAACGAAAAGTCCATTATCAGTCTGCACTGCAACATTAATGTTCACATTGTGATACCTGGATGAGTGGACGAGTAGAGAAATTTACATCAGAATGTGTCAATGAAATAAGCAAATTAGAATTATTCTTATTCACTTACTGTCTAATATAATTGTCCGTCCATGAACTGTTGCATTGAGGTACTTTCCTTAGAGCCAAGGCAGCAGCCTGCAGCAATGTTCTTACAAGCATTAAAAGGATTTCTTTTCTAAGAACAAGCGTAGGTTTGGATAGAAAGTTTGTAGAATGTTGACAAGACGAAGTAGGTTCCTTCCACAAGGGCTTAAGAAATAAGAACTTTCCAAACATTCAAAATCACATGAAAACAACTAAAATACTGTATTTAACAGAGAAAGCGAAAAGGATATAAAGAACTTCACATCAAACAGAGAAAGGAAATGAAGCGTCCTGAAAATTTAACATACTGTATTCACTTTTCTTTCAAGTGAAAAGGATATAAAGAATTTAAAATTAGAAAAAAAAAAAGAAAAAAAGAAAAAGAAAAGGCAAAGGTCCAAGTCAAATGGGACAAATTCACAGCAGAAAACAATTGAACTTCACACCCAGTTATATAATTTCTTTAAAATACCTTAATGACAAGGTCATTAACAGATAGCCTCTTTCCACCAGATGCTTCTTGTAATGCATTTAACTGCTTTCTCAAACTACAAAGAGAACAAAAGCTCATTAAATTTATAGCTTTAGGTGATATTTAACTGTAAAAGGTATAGAGAAATTACTTACTCCATGAGCTTGTCAACGCATGTATCAACAGTTAAATAATAATGAGGAATGGTTTGCTTTGAGAATAGTAATCGTGATGCTGTAATCTGTTAAAATTTAGGAAATATTAGCTCTGGGAAAACACGCACCAAGTTGGAATATATAGGACAGTTTGTCTATCAATCCAATAAATAAGATTCAAATTTGAAAATGGGGATGCCGCTAACAAAACATCTAACAATTACAAGTAACCCGTTTACAGAACATCCTAAGAGTTGAAAGGTGTGGAGACCGGCACTAAGCAAACACAAAATTGCAGAACTTTTGTGTTTCTGGAACAAGTTAGGAAAGAGATCGAGAATATTGATGAATGCAACGCAGAGTAAGATATCGTCATATTACACTAAAAGCTGCCAGAAAATACCAAGAAATCCTATAATCATGGAGTGTGTGGGCTGAGAGGGATGGGGCGAAAGGAGTGGCAGACCTTTCTTATTTGAGTATGTGGCAAATCACTGTAATCCAATGGTGCACCTGCTGCATCCTTGGCTTTTGGGGCTGTGGTTGATTCCTTCCCACGCGAAGCTAGAGACATGTAGGATAAAAGATATTAATAGACCATGTTTCAACAAAAGAAGCGTATCAATGGGTACAAAAACAACAGAGATATTCACAGTAACAACTCAAATGTAAACAGATAGATAGACAACTAAACAAAAACAAATAAAGTTGTTAATGAAACTGGCCAGCATAAAGAAAGTGAATTACCCATGTAATCTTCTATGTCAGCCTTCACAATGCTCCCTTCAGGACCTGTTCCTTTGATACTTGATAGGGGCACCTGCACTCAGAAACTTCGAACTATAGCTAAAAGGAAATCATAAATATAAAGCTCCAAATTTCGATTAAAAAAGATATTCTCAAACTAACATTGTTTTCTTCTGCTAACTTTCTTGCCAGAGGACTAGCAAAAATACGATCTCCAGCTGGAGCAGGAGGACTCTGCTTAACAGTCTTTGACTCAGGTGAACGAACTGGTTCCTCAACTTCTTTCTTGGGTGGGCTAGGGCCAGATGATTCCTTAGCAGCTGCAGCACCAGCATCGGCATTTGATGAAGTGGGTTTATAATCTTTAAACTTTGCTATATCCTCTTCATCTTCAACAGTGATGGCAATTACCTATATAAAAAAAAAAAAAGGTACTTGTGTAAACCACGTCAAATGCAGAAAATAAAATATCCATACACCTCTATCTTGAG